AGAGCATATATAGTAAGTCATATTACACTTTAACTCTCTAATATTTGTTGTATTATTTTACGTATGGCACTACTTAATTAATGTTTTATCACGTGACACATACCACGATAAATAAAGATGGAAAGGAGTAGATATATAGTTTTTTTATTAATGCAAAAAACATTTCATTAATTAACAAACCATAAAACTTATAGAGAACTTAAAACAGAAAACTTCATACAACAAACAAAAATTGGTAGATTCATTGGCGTCCTAGTATAGGAATCCAAGGTCCAATAATGGACACAATTTGGAGCACTTCTTTCGGCTCGTTTAATTCTCCATTCACGATTAGCTCTCCCGAAAGGGCTATAGCAAACTATCTACAAAGAACGATCTCTAAAAGTCAATATTCTTCCAAATCAAGCTCGCTGAAATATGGGAGATCTGGCTACAGACATATAAAAGATGAAAAACAACACAAAACCCACACAAGGTTATAGCTTGGTAGGGGAACACAACTACAAACAACGAAAACAACCAAAGTCCACACAAATCTAGCAATTTGTAAGAGAAAACAAACACCAACACTGGTAGAATAATTGTCTTTATTCCATGAACAACTAAAAAAATAGAAGAAAATATCAACACGGACTCCACCATCATATAGATCAGCCGACATAGAGCGCGTAGATATATTTTAGGAGCCGGTTGACCGGAGACGCACTTCCAACAGCTGGCCGGACTATTCTCCTTCTTCCCCTCTCTCTCTTTCTGAAATTCTCTCTCACTAGAAAACAGTGGTTGATAATATTTGATAATATATATATATATATATTTATATATATTTATACAGTTTGAAATAAAGAAGATTCGATTCCACCTCCAATTTGTGTAATTTCAGGTAGAGCTAAATTCATGAGAGATCCCTGAATTTTTTTCTCTTTCTAAATTTAGTCCCTGTTGTAAAAATTGTTCTATCTTAAACCTTAAACTTTTTAAGGGTCTCAAATTTAGTCCCTCAGTTAAAATTCCATTAAAATTTGTATAGAAAATTATGACAATCTTGTAATTGCAGCTTAAATAATGAACGATCTTATAATTTTGTAACATTCTTTTTTTTTTCCTTTATGTGTTTTACTAAATATGCTTTATTTATTATTTTTTTGAGATTAAACACAAAAACTTAAACAGCAGAACTTTTTTTTTTGTGTTTATGTTTTATTTTTCTCTGATATGTTTCTTTGTACTTTATTGCTATTGGTGTGTATTAGTTTTTTTGTTTTTTCTTCCTTTACATTTTGAGATTAATGAGTTTTAAGATACGAAAATTACTAATTACTTTTCTCTATATAATGTAAATTATAGCCATTATAGTTTTTTTTAGGTATAAATTTAAACAAAGAGATTCCATTGACACATGATCTATATCTTAAATTGGACTTTTTCCTCTCTCTAACTTGAAAAAGCTTCCTCCAAGAAAAAAAAAATGATCTATTTTCTGTCTTCAAGTGATGTTTTGTACCTTTTGTGAATATGTGATCACAGACAGGTTTTTTAGCCTTTTATTTTTGAGAAAAGTCAAGTTTGTTACTAATTTGTTTTGGCGCTTCATTGTTGCTATGAGCAAAAATTTTGTTTAGTATCTGTTAACCATCTTACTATAAAACCACGGTCAGCTTCACTAATTCTTCCTTCTCTTTTTTCCCTATTAATTTTTATTGCAGCAGCTTTTCTCAAAATTTTGTGTCAATTGGATTATATCATCTATGACAAAACGATGTTAAAATAGTCAAGGAGCTCCCGAAAAAAAGGAGGGAAATAATTTAACAAATTTAGAACTTAGCTACATTTATAACTTAACTACCATTAACTCAATGCTTTTCATCCAAAATTTAATGGAATTTTAACTGAGGGACTATATTTGATAAGAGTTCAGGGTTTAAGATAAAACAATTTTCACTACAAAGACTAATTCTAAGAAGAGAAGAGAGTTCAGGGACCTCTCATGAATTTTAACTATTTTAGGTATTAATCTAACACTTAGACCACTGTATGTTCTAGATTAATGCATTACTGTGGCTCAACTATTTGGACAACTTGTTAGGCTTTCTACCTGCAGTTTGGTGTGTTCTCTAGATTCTTTTTTGGTTTGCACTATGATATTTCACTTTTGATAATTCTCGGACAACATGATTGTGCCTTTTGAATAATTTTTTTAATAACGGTAGGTAAATATCCAACTCCTGTCGTTTTCATAAACAACTTTGGAAAATAGATACTTCTGATTTGAGAAATCTTGACGAATATCTTTAAAAATGGGTCTTGATTTTTATCTTTTATTCTTGATTAATATTCTTTGTAGTCGAATAATTATACTAACAATATGGTATTAATTAAGAGTAGAGGGTATAAATCTAGACTCATGCACTTTTAAAAGTAAGTTCAACAATTTTTTTTAAAAGGGAGAGGGGGAGGAAGAGAGAAAAGGGAGGAAATTGTAGTAAATTGAACATAGCATATTTTTTAAACTAAATCAAGTAAATAACTTATTTTTAAACTATTTGAAGTAAATAGTAATTTACTGAGTGTCATTTACGATCGGTAAAAATAATTTACGTGGTGAAAAATATTTATTTACGTGGAAAAATATCTTTCTAGCAGTCGTAAAAAGACAATTTATGTGAAAAAATTCTTTTTACTAGTCATAAATGAAACATTTACACAATAAACTGATATTTATGGTTATTTACTTAATATAATTTTATAAATTTTCTATTTACTCTTCTATATATAAAAAAAAGTAATGAACCCTACTAGTCCTTGAATTATGTGTATTGTATTATTTTGGTCCATAAACTTTTAATTTCATAGATCGATTACTCTCTAAATTTTTAATTTTAATAGATTACTCGCTAAACTTTTGATTTTTTAACCACTAATTTGGCCCTAACACACAAAAAACTGGTAAATGACTTATGAAATTTGTTAGAGATAATCACGTTTCAAACGCATAATAACTAAAATTTTTACAGAAATAGTACATTAAATGTCTAATGAATTTGTTTTTAATGGTTTGTCAAATAATGAAGAAAATATTTCGCATTTAGTGTAACTATATTTCTATAAAAATATCTGTTATTATGCATCTAGATGTGATGATCTATGAAATTTCAGAAATCGATCGTCAATTTTAATATACAGGGACTAAAGTAGTCAAAAATCTAAAGCTCAATGAATAATTTGTTAAAAAAAAAAAATTAGAAACTAAAGTGATAGAGAATGCAAATTATTCATGACTAAACAGTGCTAAAAAATAATGGAGGCTAAACTTTAAAATGTTGAATTCAGAATTCTTCTAGAGATTTTGAGACTCAAACGTATGGTAAGCAAATGGTATATATAAGCGACAATAAATTATGTATGTTTGCTCGGCCTCAACATAAATAATTTAAACTGAGTCATTGCATTTATGAATTATATAGTATGGTAGTTACAGTTTAGTCTCAGTGGTCTATATTTACGTTGATAGCTCATAATTGTTTTTCCTATCGATTTCAGATTATTAAAGTCTTTTAAAAAAAAAAAATTCTAATAGTGGCAACATTGTATAGTTAGTATTTGGTTCCTATTATATGAATGAGTTGAATAATTGTTCTTCGCTTGTTTTCTTGTCTTATATTTTTCTTTACTAAAAATCATATAGCCTCTTCTGCTCATATGATATATCATATGTATCCTAGAGTGCTGATCTAAGGCTAATGTAAAACAGCACAAACCCTAGGTTATCATTGTTTATATCGACAACCTTAATTTTTCCTTTTCCCCACCGTCTTTAACTATCACGGCAAGAAATTCTGCAAATTATTAGAATCCCACATTGATTGGAGATATTGGCATGATCCACTTAATAAGGTGATGTCAATCCTCCCCTAACAAGCCGGTTTTGTTAGGTTGAGTTAGACCCAATATCCTTTGATTTCTGTAAAATAGTATCAGAGCAGGCCCAGTTTTGTAATGTTGGGTCCCCCAATATCGACTTATTCGCAGCGGTTTGACATGGTCCACGTTGTGCGTGAGGGGGCGTATTAGAATCTCACATTGGCTGGAGATATTGGCATGATCCACTTAATAAGGTGATGACAATCCTCCCCTAACAAGCCGGTTTTGTTAGGTTGAGTTAGGCTCAATATCCTTTGATTTCTGTAAAACAAATAAATATCCGTTTCATTCTTTTATTATTATTTAAGAAAAAAATCCAACTGAAATCACACAAAAATGAAGTAATAAAGGCTAAAGGAAATATATTTTAATATTAAATAAAAAGAAAAAATATATATATTTTGTAGCTAGAGAGAGTAAAACAGAAACGTGAATGATTGAACAACCATACTTGTTGACTTGCGTTTACTAATGAAATATGTTGGGAAGAATTCTGCCCACGTTTCAAGCCACTAAGGGGACACTGAGTCAGGACTCAGGACCATAATTGGCTCCTAAAAGAGCCGAAAAAATCAGAACAATTGTGACGGGCTTAACAACAACGCCCGTTGTCTTTTTCCCCTCGCAATCTTGTGACATTCGAATGATATTTTAACTTGCAATATTTACCACTTCACTAAAAAAAAAAAAAAAAAAAAAAAAAAAAAGAATTCTCTAGATCTATAATTAAAGAAATGACTATGTAAAAATTGACTTCTAATTAAGTTAATTAAAGAAATGACTGTGTAAAATTGACTTCTAATTAAGTTCATTGAATAAATGAGTAAGTAAAAATTGATTGTTATTATCATTATCAGAATTAAACAAAAACAGTACAATCTCGGCGCGCATGCATATACAACAGCCTCTTTATCATTAATGTGAATGAGGCAAGCCAAAACAAAATATTAAGGACCAAGAGGTCAATTTGTGGACCCTACATCCAGCTTCTCTATTTTATAGAAAAATAATTCTCGTGTATATATAGTTCTGTAATTAGATCTCATCCGTGGGAATCGAAGCCAGAAAATGGAGTCCGCCGATAGAAAGAAAATGGCTGCTTCTGCCGCCGGAGATGATGAGAGTAAGCAACCAAATGCTGAGATGAAGATGAAGGAAAAGAAGCTTGGAGGTGTCAGAACAATGCCATTTATTTTTGGTATGTCTACTAATTTCTTAAAAATATTCTCTTACGTCTTCTACTACTTTATATATGTTTTTTTTTTCTTTCCATTTCCATTTAAGGGTTAATTTTCAGCATCTCATTTCCGTTTCAATTTTATCGGAATACTGCCAAGCTTATAATAGTGTGTGTATATATATGTATTTATATATATATATATATATCTGTATGTATGTATCTTCCTCATTCTAATTAGATTCCAAGTTGGTCAAAGATATTGGACAAAAGAAGCATATAAAAGTAATACCAAGAAAAATGAACACTTGTTTTGAGAAACGTCGGATGAGTTATATATTATACTATATTGTATTAACTTCAGTTTCCTCCTACTAATTACTTTACTTGACTATTTATTTCGCCTCTCAAAATCTGCAATTGTACTTGATATCGACAAAAATGGCAACACACGCATAGGGCTGACAATCCGGATAACGACACGACGACACGATTCGAAACCCGCACGAAATTAGCGGGTTTGGGTTTATCAGAAATAGGTACGGGGCAAAATCAGGTCGAACCCGTGAAACACGATTAAATAACGTGTCATTTTCAGGTTGACCCGCCAACCCGCAATTGACCCGCCATAACCCGTTTATTAAACGTGTCATATTTGGGTAACACGAATACACAACCCGTTTATTACCCATTTTATAAACATGTTAACAAATAGGTTCAGAAATAGGTTAACACAACCCATTTATCACCTATTTTATAAACATGTCCAAAAATAGGTTCATAAATAGGTTAACACGACCCATTTATCACCCATTTTATAAACGGGTTGACAGGTAATCAATGGGTTGACACGATCCGTTTATGACCTATTTAATAATCGGTGTATTCGTGTCAGGCCGTGTCAACCCGCTAATAAACGGGTCGTGGTTGGGTTTTGTATTTCGACACGATTAATAAACGGGTCGTGTTCGTGTCAGACCTATTCGTGTCAACTGAAGAGGTCAACACGACACGAATACGACCCGCCAACCCGAATTGCCACCCCTACACACGCATATAGAATTGATACCGCTCATCTTCCAAGTGTGGCCCCACATATTCTCTAGAATTATCGAAGTAATCAACCTAGAATTTAATAAAGTAATAAAAATTATTTGACTAATTAGATCGAGGCTGACAAGAAAAATTAAGTTGGGTTGTTTAATTGGTGGTTATGGATCAAACCATTTTATTAATCTAAATCGTTTTGATTCATGATAGCTTGACTTAGCAGTCCATTTTTTTTTTTTTTTTTTAAAAAGAGCATGTCTATTCATTCTGATAAGGTTAAAATCTCATCATTCAGATAAAACGAGTCTCGCTAAGTGGGTAAATGAGAGCTAACTTAGTGGGACCCACCATTTTATAAGTGTGAGTTTTATCACCATCAAGATAAAACATTGAGAATTTATCTCTCTTTTACCCCCTCAATTTCTCTCTTGATACATTAGTTTTTCTTTTTCATGTTTGAACGAGTCATTTAGGAACTATTTTCAACGAGCAATCCTATTTGTCCCAAATAGAGATATCCTCATCATACACAAAATTGAGCCCTATTTGTGAGGTCTGTTTAAGTCTCATCATGTGAGATTCATCTCTTTGTGTGTATGAAGATAAATCTCCGTTAGGACAAAAAGCATTTTTCATTTTTAACAGTATTGTGTCACCCTTATTCGTCTCTTCTTTGTCCTCACAAAATTTTATGAAAGGTAAAAAGAAACTGTAAAAGTAGGAAACATGCTTTAATGGAGTTGTAGTAGATGGATTATGTAAATAAAAATGTTTGAGTCAGCTTTTTTTTTTTTTTTCTTGGAGGATTTTGTAAGAAAAGGCTTAGCTAATAAAGTTACTTCATTAGTGTCATATATAAAGACATATTACCGAAAGGAGATGGTTATTTCGGGTTGAATAATGTATGATATGATTATATGAATAAAGAATTTCCGGCGAAGAATATAGAAAATAGATGGATAATATTTTATTTGAAAACAAACAGATTATGGGCCGGGCACTCTGGTCATAAATAGATGGGCCTCGAATTATGCTGCTCGCCATTTTTGGCCTAATGGCTCGTTTTTTTTTTTAATTTTTTTTTAGAAAAATACAGAATCTACTCTTAAAATACTAGAACAAAACCGTCAAAAGATACAGTGACAGTTTAAAAAATTTTCGGAAAATAATGAGCAGAAAAAAGTCCGTCTTTTTTTTTTTTAATTTTGACATTAGACGATGGGCTTTTAAAAACTTGTACAAATTTTTTGTTTTCGTATCGGGTGTTTTTAGCATATTAGACGATTATTTCTTAAAAACCTCATTAAATATGCGTCGTCTAATCTCTTATATATTATAATAAAAGTGTATGGTCAGAATATTTACCTTTTATTCTTAATTAATACATTTTTACTATTATAATTATTTAATTAAAACATCATTAATCAAAATAAGAGATAGAAATCTTAATTAGGTACTTAAAAGAGTATTTGTCTTTTTTTTTTCCGAATAATCTCTCTTTTTCATTTATAAAAATATAGTTGTCTGTTTATTGGCAGCAAATGAAATATGCGACAGATTTGCGAGCACAGGATTTCATGCCAACATGATAACGTATCTGACACAACAGCTTAATTTGCCGCTTGTGAAGGCCTCAAACATCCTCACCAACTTCGGCGGAACTGCCAACTTCATGCCACTCATTGGTGCTCTCATCGCCGACTCCTTTGCTGGCCGATTTTGGACCATCACCGTCAGTTCCATTATATATGAACTGGTCTCTCTCTCTCTCTTCACTTTAATTATCTCTCTCTTTGTCTATTTTCGTGCATATAAACATTAAGCTGTTGATTTTCTAATTCATAATATACTAACATGGAAGAAAACGTCACAGACAAGATATACTATACTGAGACCCAGTAATAAATATATTAATTTTTTTGTTACAGTATTTTCTCTCATAAAAATTTAAATTTAACTTTTTTACGACTTAGTGTTTGTAGTCTTCGAGAGTGACATTTGTTATTCAATACCCGTTTATTTTAGGATTCACGGGTCCCAAATGCGATGAGTTCAACAATAGAACTAGAGTCTCATGCCTTTAAAGTTAGAGAGAAGAAATTTGAACCCAAAACTTTTATATTGTATGTGAGACGAGAATTATCATCAGATTTGTTATGCGAATATCATGTTAATTAATTACGTACTATTGATATTGGCGAAATCCAAACTCAGTAGTGAAAAGTTTCGCCAAACCTATGTTAATGATTATAGAGTATCCTATAATGAGTTACTGCTATATAATAAAAACCTAATGTAATGATCAATAGAAACTAGGGCCTCAAATTTGAGCAAAATAATTTGGAAAGCTAATAATTAGTTAGTCTGTTGACCGGCTACGGTATCTATGGAGTTTATATATAAATCTTACGTTCAGCCAGTCGAAAAACAAAAAACAAAAAACAAAAAAAAAGAACAAGCTAAAACTAGTTTGGTTGCTTTAAATAATTACGCTAAAGTTGTCCTATATTACCTTAATGATTGGCTTGACTTCGTTTCTGTCACTTTTTATCCACTTGTCACCTTTTATTGACCTTTTCTTTATTTCTACTTAGTCTTAAAGGGTATTTGAGAGATGTATTTAAATCCCTCATTTTGATTTTGCTACGACATTTTTAATCTCATAAAAAATTTAAATTGAAAATTTTTTTCTCTCATAAAGTTTCTGTCAATAAATTATAATTACTAATTTAAACACGTGAACTAAGTGAATTGTTAATTTAAAGTTATCACATCCTTTAATACTCATGGATTATCAATTCTTCCGTCATTCTCTTTAAGTTGTATAGACACAAAAATTTGCTTGTTTGTTATCTTTTCAAATTTCAAATGAGCTAAATTGCTTGCCTATATATATATATATAATCACATATATACAGGGGTTATTGAGCATAACCATATCTGCCCTACTACCTTCACTCCGTCCACCACCATGTCCAACCCAAACAAACTGCATAGAAGCCTCAACCACACAGCTATGGATCCTCTACCTCTCCCTCCTCCTCACCTCCATCGGCTCCGGCGGCATCCGTCCCTGCGTGGTTACCTTCGCAGCCGACCAGTTCGACATGAGCCGCTCCGGTGTGGCTAAGCGCGGCTGGAACTTCTTCAACCTCTACTACTTCAGCATGGGGTTGGCCTCCCTCACCGCCCTCACCGTCGTCGTTTACGTCCAGGACAACGTCGGATGGGGCCGGGGCCCCGGCCATCCGACCATCGCCATGGCCCTGTCGATTATCGCCTTCCTCATTGGCTCTCCGCTTTATAAGAAGATGAAACCCGGAGGGAGTCCTTTGGTCAGATTGGCTCAGGTGGTGGTTGCTGCCGTCAGGAAGCGGAAGGAGGAGAGGCCGGCGGATCCTAAGGTTTTGTATGAGAATAAAGAGCTTGATGCTGGGATTTGTGTTCATGGGAAGCTTCTACATTCAGATCAATTCAAGTAAGTTTAGCTTTTGATATTAGAATATTGGCATTATCAGTTAAACAATCTTAATTAAGCCTCCAATATTAAAACACCTAATTGTATATCAATAGTACTGTAAGCATTGTAGTTAAACTCTTTTTACAAATTTTTGAACGAAAAATCTGTTAAACCAAAAAATATATTCAAGAGTCACGTTGTCTCTTCTTTTTGTGGCAAAAAAATTATCATAGATGTAAAAGGAACTTAATTGGTATTATTCTTGTCTTATTATTTGTAGCTTTAGTGTATATATTGTACATGGTACATAACTAAACAAAGAGCGACCTTGTTTTTAAAGTACTGAAAATCAGAACTTATAAAGTTTTGGCACCTTTTAACAGAACTACTCATGAGAATATACAGAAATTAACCATAGTAATTAGTCCCTTGAAATGCAATAAATCCTATATTTCTTTATCGAAGTTGAAATTTTTCAAAAAGATCTTGTCGTAATTGTAAATTGGTAGTTAATTTTAGAATTAGCTTATCATCTTGTTGAAAACATTAATCCTATTCCTATTTAACCAGCTCTCACACTCCTAATACTCTTCCCTTTGTTAATCCATAAAGGTGCTTAGACAAAGCGGCTATAGTAACTCTTAAGGACGAAAAGAACTCAAGTACTGCAGCTCAACAAAACCTATGGAGATTATGCACAGTGCATAGAGTTGAGGAGCTGAAATGCATAATCAGAATGCTTCCCATATGGGCATCAGGAATCCTGCTTGTGACTTCCCATTCCCACCAGCACAGCTTCGTCATCCAGCAAGCCCGCACCATGAACCGCCACCTCTCCCCGTCCTCCTCCTTTGAAATCCCCCCCGCAAGCCTCTCCATCTTCGGCACCCTCACCATCCTTGCTGGCCTCGTCCTCTATGAGCGCCTCTTCGTCCCCCTCACCCGCCGCTTCACCAAAAACTCTGCTGGCATCACCTGCCTCCAGCGGATGGGAGTAGGCTTCGCCATTAACATCCTCGCCACCATTGTCTCCGCCTTCATCGAGATGAAGAGGAAAGCAGCGGCTGCACGGCACGGCATGCTGGATGATCCAAAGGCAATCATCCCCATAAGTGTTTTCTGGTTGGTTCCACAGTTTTGCCTTCATGGAATGGCTGAGGTCTTCATGTCAGTGGGACATCTTGAGTTTCTCTACGATCAGTCGCCGGAGAGCATGAGAAGTACCGCGGCTGCTCTATTTTGGATTGCGATTTCGATTGGAAATTATATCGGAACATTGCTTGTGACTTTGGTTCATAACTACACTGGTGATGGTGAGAATAATTGGTTGCCTGATAGAAATCTTAAGAGGGGAAAATTGGAGAATTATTACTTGCTTGTTAGCGGGATTCAAGTTGTTAATCTAGTGTACTATGTGATATGCGCTTGGTTCTATTCTTATAAGCCATTGGAGGAGCTTAGTGAAGCATGGAAAGAAGAAGATATAGAAATACCACTTGAGAAAGGAAGTAGAGCTATTAATTGAGTAACGGAAAAGCTTATAAGTAGAAGTTTCAATGAATAAGTTTAGTGTAGTGCAAGTGTACCGTATATAAGTACACATTAATTGTAGATTGGAAATTAATTTAGATGCCTCTTGAATTCAAGCCCTTTAATTACAATGTAAAAACTATTAATACCCGTTCTGTCAAAAAGACAACTCTTTTTTTTTTTTCTTTTATTTGTCTCAAAGACAACTTGGTACGTACGCTTCTAATACATTGTTCAATGGTAGAGTTCACTCATTTCATTGTGTAGCAATTTGGCTTTTATAATTACTGCATGTAACGAAAGAAGAAAGAGTTGGGAAGAAAAGAGATCCCAACAGAGAGGACTTAATCGAAATTAACTCACTAACAATGGAATACGTATGGATCTCACTAACAATTTTCTAACGACTACATCTACTAACCACAACTGATTAATTAAGCTAAGCTAGAACTACTTAATTAACAGAAAACTATTTATCAGCAATCTCATAGTCATTCCTAACAGCGCAGCAAACTTATAGCGATAAGATTCTCCGCTGCGAGTTTGCTCCTCTCATGACACCGAACTTACGACTGGAATTTTGCTTCGTAAAAACAACTGCGACTTGATCCACTTATGGTATATGCCTAACTTCAATTTTTGATGTAGCGGAAGCTTGGTTAAAGAAAAAAAAAAACGAAATAATAAAATAAGAAGGTAACTAAAAAAACGAAATTATAAAATAAAAAGGTAACTAATTAATCTGTTGATTCACATAGAATATCAACAAAATTACTTCAAAAACTGTTAATTCACACAAAATATAGGAATTTGAGAGAATATTCGAGAAAAAAACTCTGAAGTTTTATTCAACTAAACTAGTTTTCAATACAAGAGAGCGTCCATATAAATAGGCAAAATAGAAACAGAAAACAAACCTATTCTATAATTAAAATACTAAAAAAATACTTATTTTTCAAAAAAGGAATATTTTGAACTAGAAACTAAATCAGAAACTATTAGATGCAAAGAAAAAAGAAACGCAATCAGAACTGGAATCCGAATTTCTTAAGTCAACTTATTACAAAAACATAAATTACTAAAAATGGAAAAAAGCCCTTTCGGGGCCTAAAGGAAGGAATTTGCCCGAAAAACGTGACACGTCGTGGCAAAGTGACAAGTCTTGTCTGTTGACCCCTTTCCATTCCAAAAACACATATTTTTCGTCCAAATCCGACATCGTCAAAAGACCTTTTGAAAACCGAAAATTTGTCTTATTTAGCTTTAGAATGTTCCCAAAGCGTCAAAAAGGCTAATTCCTTCTGCACCGCGTCATCCTTGCTTATGCCCTTACTTTTTATCAAGCAAAGTAGAGGTCAATCTCTACATGTATATATAGTTCTTGTCATGCATATAGTTAGATTGGTATCAATAAGTTTTGGAACAAAGAGCAAAAATTAGAAGAACATAAATTTTAACGTGCACTACAACAAATATCAGTATCAGTAGCTGACCAAAAACGCTATTAAACACTACTAATAGCGTTTTGTGAAGCGCTAAGACATCAGACGCTATTAAAAGTCCTAAGAAAACATAACGTTCTAAGAGCGTTATGAAAAACACTATAGAATTGAGGTCTTATAGCGTTTAAGACAACCTCTTACAGCTATTTAGCATGGCTATGGTACAGATTAATAGCTTTTTTCCTTTGTTATGTTCATAATCTTGTAGCTTTTTAAAATTATTATTGATATCCTTTTAAATTCATTCAAATAGATGGTGATTCCGAGCAACATCCTATATCTAAATAGGAACATTCAAATTAAAACATAAAAACATTCAACATATCAATTGTTATCAGTATCTACTATGTTGGCAATAAAATTACATCTACAACATAAGTCATACAACGTCTAAAACCTTAACATTCAAAACAAGTAAAGAAAATAGAGGAATAGCTAGAGATATCAAAGTATCCAAAACGTCTAGCTAAATAAAATGGTGAAGTAAATCCTTCCATCTTGACAAAATGCTTCAACAAAAAAGTCATTTCCATTGTTTAACTTGTAAGAAAGTGATCCACTATCAAAACAATAATCAAACTCAGCTAAAACTTCCACCATTTAACCTATAAATAAAGCAAGGACTAGTTACACCATTCACAACTACATAGCCACATCCACATATGTTTTGCAATGAATTAGAGGAAACATAGCTTCAATGATGCACTAGGTAAAAATTTAATGTCAAACTTGTAAGACAGAGAGTATCTTACATGTATTTTTATGTAGATAGAGAGATCTTACAAAGTAATCATAGGAGAAAAGGTTAAAGTTAGAGACCTTTTGCAATAATAAAAAGTAATCAAAGGGAGTGTTTGCAACATTATAATCAAAGCTTCCATTGATAAACAACTGAACAGCAGAATAACTTTTACTATAAAGGCAAAAACTTGTGAGCAAGAGCACTTGAGTTTCTCAGGACACTAACAACAAGTACCTACGAGTTAACTCATATTTCATCTTGATTGTCAAGTAACAACACAAGGTACCGCAACACCAATTTAAACATGTGTGGCAAAATAAGCAATGGCACTTGTCACTAAATAAACCATTCACAAGTTAAAACTGCAAAGAATTTCATTAATCAGAGTAAGAAATTCATTATCACAACAAAAGATTTAGCAAGGGACCCAATTAACAAAAAGAATCTAAAAGTACATGAGCAAAGAGTAGTACAGAGGGATCTAAAAAAATGATAAAGATAAAAGTCTAAAGAATCTTAACAAATAAATATCAGTCGTATGCAACATATAAAGCACAAGTCCAAATACCAAAAAAAAAGGGGGGGAAAAACAAATGGTTTCGTGTGATGATAAAGCTTACCTTAGCCACACTCCTATTTTCACTGAGTCCAAATTCCAAAGATCATATATACATCTCTATGGGTGTATACAACACATAAGGCGATATAAGACAGTTCATCAACAACACTTCTGTTAAAGGCTGTATAAGAAAGTCCAAAGACCTTTAGCTTCAAAGCTCAACAATATAAAAGAGTAACCAAAACGTCTTAAAATCCCTAACTTTATAATTGGTTTTATCTTGATTGTTATGCTTGTACATAGAAGACCTTACTAAGGGAGCAAATTCAATATTATGAATGAATGGAACAATCAACAGAATTTAACTCCAAATGAGTTATGGATGCATAATATTCGCCCAAAAGTAAGAATGGCATAATAGTAACACCATTTTTTTTATCAACTTATGAAAATATAAGAATAGAAAACTTCATTAAACCTTAGGCAAATGACGACTAGCTTTCGTTTCTTGTTCCGGTCCAACAACGGGGACGTTATCCTGCCTTTCTCCTGCCGTGGAAGGACTTCAGCCAACAGTCTAACCATTCTTCTCCAAAATTTATAATCAAACAAGAGCTAACAAAGTAATAAACTGCCAACATAGCTTCAAAAATAATACTCCTACAAGTACAAATAAATCAATCAACTGATAATCAAATCCAGAATTCATTCCCTTTCGGCTTTACCTTGGAGGAAATCATCTCGGCCGTGGCAATCTTTGCAAGCTTAGCTTGAAAGAAGGATCAAGATCCTTCTTATCCAACGCCCGAACTCCAAATGTCATTACTTGAAAAACACCAGCCATGTTCCCAAAGCGCTAAAAAATCAAAAATGGAGGAAAAAAAGAAAAAACAATCAACGACAAGAGAAGAACGGGAAATGATGAGAAAACTAAACCCAAATTCCATAGACCAGAAAATCACCCAACGTCTTCCTCTTGAAACCGCCGAGCAACAGTCAAGAACCAGAAGCGGATTCCTAGAATCAAAAAAACTCCATTAATTAATTCCAAAACTTCAGAATTCACTGTAATCATGCGTAATTATAATGTATATGAAAATATATATAGAGAGAGTACAGAGTGGTGATTTCCTCGAGAGAAGCCATGGAGGCCTCTCTGACCATGGAAGATTCATCAGCAAAAGAAGAAACCAGAACCTGTACGGCCTCTGAGAACAGCGAATTCGAACACGAACGAACATTTCAAAGATCAAATGGCGGTGGAAGAAAACAGAAAGTGAAAATGCAGTACATGAATTCAACAGCAGTACGAAATTTCTAAATAAAACAGAAAAATGGAGAACAGAGAGAGAATGAAATGTGAACCTCTTTGGGTAACGGAGCTTGGCGTAGGAAGAGAGCTTCACGGGCCTTCGATCTTCTTCCCACGGCCTAATCTTCACAAAATCATGTCGAGGCTGGCTCCGAGCATCTTCCTTCCACGACCTAATCTTCACAAAATCACGTCAACGAAAAAAGAACCAAAAGGGGGCGAATGACCGAGCGGGAAACGTAAAATTTGGGGGCAAAATTTCAGAAATGGAGAACATACAAAGATAGAGAAATGCGAACCTCCTTGGGTAACCGAGCTTCACGTGCCTTCGATCTGCCTTCCACGACCTAGTCTAATCATGTCGAGGCCGGAATCAGAGCATAACCTTCCGGTCAAGCAAAGCAAATCAATTTGGACATCATAGCATAATGGGAAAATTTTGGAATTTGGGGGAAAGAGAGGAACGAGTGAGGTGGAATCGAGTGAGTTTTCTTTTTCCTTGGCCGGGTAAATGCCTCTTTGTTAGAATCGGAGAAGTGGGAATTTAGGGCTTCTTTTTGTTCCTTGTTCGTATGGGACTTGGAAAGACTGGCAATGGAGGCTCATCAGCAACGAGATTGAGCGACGCGAACGATAGAGAGGAAGCAGTGGAGGCCTCTGGTCTAGAGTGGGGAAGCTTTTGTTCGTATGGGAATTTGAGCAGCAAGCAGAGCACAAAAAAAAAGGGGGGGAGGGGGGAATGAGGCGGCGGGAATTTGAAAATTTGGGGAAACATGAACAGCAAGCAGAGCAAAAAAAAAAAAGGGGGGCGGGGGGGAGGGAATGGACCGGTGGGAATTTGGTCCCGTTCACTTCGCTAATTTAAGTTTAAAATTTGAGTTTTTTTACAGTAAAAAGTTCTCACAAATAATCACATTTAACTTTTTTATTACAGTAAAAAGCTCTCATATAAAGTCACATCTAAACTCGAATCAACGAAGTGAACAGGACTTGGAGAAATAATTTTTCCACTGTCTAGTCATGTACAGTAATATATATTTAAATATATATACAATTAACCAGTTAAAATTTTATTAACATATATATATACATATTATAACTATTTTGAAACGTTATTATATATAGTCAAAAAAACGTTTAATAATGTTTTTTTAAAAATGTTATAATTAACAGTTCTAAAAAGCTTGTTCTATTGTAGTGATGGTTCAACAATTTCACCTACATCCACAGATCATGATATATTTTTTATTTCATTCACTGATGATTTTACAGTAAGCTCATTTATGTGTATAAATAGAAGCGTTTCCCTAAATACACAAATAAATACTGGCTGTCAATTGACATCGTATTAAGACTACAACCATGCTCATAATTAATTCCTTCAATCAAGAAGATTGTTGCCCTAATAAGATAGTTTACCAATATTTCAACACTTTTCCTTAAATTGGTGCATACCAACTTAGAAAGTATTATGATTACAACCTAAGAGTGGCAATTCGTATTACGTGTCGTGTTTTAATCGTTTCTTTTTAAATTTGCAGTCAACCCGTGACACAAAATTTTTTAAAAACCGCAACACGAACACGACAAGACCACTTTACGAGTTGACACGACACAACCTGAAAATGACCCGTGACACGAAATTAACCCGTGAATCCGAAATTGACACGAAAATTGCATATATTTTTGTTTACATATTAGAAATAACTTAAAATTCATAATACACTAAATTACAATAACATCCATTGAAATTAAGCAAATAATAGTATAAGATTTTAAGTATAACTATCATGATATCACAAGTTCATAATAAAATTTAAAATATGAAATGAAAAATATATGTATTTTTTAGTTTTTTACGAGTTTCGTGTCGTGTTCGGGTTAGACGGGTCCAACCCGAGATTGACTCGTGTTTTTTGTGTCAATTTCAGGTCGACCCAATTCTGACCCGAATCTCTTTTTTCTCAACCCTAACCCGTAAAATTCGTGTCGTTTTCGAGTCGTATCGTCGTGTCGTGACTCATATTGTCGCCCCTATTACAACCGATCTTCGATAGTATTCTTCAACAGCTTTCTTGATTGCAATCATCATTTTCAGTAATTTTACATGTCAAACTCAAATTTACATAAACTTCACAGCATAAATTTCAATTTCAAAAGTTTCACCAAGCTCAAATGAACTTCATAGCAAAGGCTTCAATATGCACTCTTTGATAGCGCTTCAGGAGATCAAGTTCTAGCTCAAATTTGCGAGCTTTACGACACTGAAATTTTTTTTTTTTTTTTAACAATATTGGATGGTAGTCCCCCGCAGACCAGGCCCACCATCTTCATCACACACTCATCATTTCTTTTAAACACGTTAATTAAAAAAAAAGTTGTCAAAAATAAATCATTGCACGCCTTTTTCTCTCAATTTTTTATTTTTTATTATTTTTGTCCTTTCGAGATTCTCACGGACACTTGCACCCTTTTTTTTTCTTTCATCACCAAACCCAACATTTCTTCTCAACTTTCTTATCGCATTCACGCTCTCTTCTCAACTATCGACTTAGAGGATGTTTTGTGGAGAAATTCATTTTCTGATTTGAATTATGATTCGTGATTCGTTACAGTATTTTTTTTTATAAAAAATACACGTATGTTTCATTCATTTCACCGATTTGAATTTTCAGTTTTAAGTTTCTACAGTAAAATGCTCTAAAAAAATGTCACATCTAACTTTTTCTACTACAGTGAAAAGCTTTCATAAAATGTCACATCTCAACTCGAATTAAAAACTCAAATTTGCGAAATGAACAAGGTCGTAAATTGAAAATGATTCGAATCACATGGTTTGAATCATCCAACCAAACGTCATCTATTCTTTTAGAGTAAAATTTTAAAAAAATTAAACTTAAATTATAATTTTATTTAAGTTCATATTCGTTTATAAAATTTGAGTTTTAACTCGAGTTTTAATTTAAGTTTAAAGTTAAAATTTGAGTTCAAATTTCCCCATCAACTCAAGTTCTTAAACTCAAACTCAAGTTAATGAACAATATTTTTTCTATTTTTAAAAACGTTATAACTTTTTCGTTTTAATTCCGATCGAGAAGATTTTTTTTATGCGTTCACAATGAAGAGACGAATAAAACTCCACCCATATACCCTATTAAAATTTTTCATCGCCATTTAGTTTTTATTAAAATACTATTTAAATACAAATTCAAGTTTTGACCTACTTAAACACAAACTTAAATAGATTCTCAATTCAAATCATAACTCAAATGTGCACATCCAAACACAAATTGAAGTTACAACTTCAACTCAAATTATTACTCAAATTCAACCCAAGATCTACACTCAAATCACCATAACTCAAAAATACAACTGAACAAGCCCTATATTAGTTAAATAGTTAGTACTCAAGAATAAGAGATAAAAATGCAGACTCGTGCATTTTAAGAATAGATTCAACAATTTTCTCTAAAATAATACATTATTATGTTTTCTTATCTTTTAAAATAATTACATAAAAGGTCTACTATTACAGTCTTAAATTTAAAAGTGTCTACTATAGTACAATATTATAAAATTATATGCTTGTTAGAAATATAGGACTTGTTATATCCATTATATCCCTTTTATATATTTTGTGCACTTTCTTTACATAATTAGATGGATATCTTGATTTTATTTTATTTTCCAGTTTCTTTTATAGTTGACCTTACCTGTTATTGTTGGGGGATAATTAATACGATACTTTTGTGATTAAATGACTTATGGAGTTGACTGATTTCATTTCCCCTTCTATATATATTTTGAATTTTAGTTTAAACTTTAAATATGCTCAATATTTTCAGTTTCAGACATTTTCTTGTCCTACTTGCTTGGCATTTCGTTCCGCCAGGTTTGCTTGTCCTTTTTTTTTCTTTTGTTCTCTGCAAGTTCCTTTTTTTTTTTTTTTTTCATTTTTAGAAGTCCTTTTAAGTTCATGCGTTTCAGGTTTAACGATTATCAAATTTTTAGTTATGTGATTTCTTGTGAGCGTATCTTTAATGTCTTTTGTATTCACATGTTTTTAGCTTTGAGAATTATCAAGTTTGTAGTTCATATCAAGTTTCCTCTTTGTTTCTTTTGTTTTGTTTTTTTTTTTTTGGTTTTTTTTTTAGAACCATGTGTTTTCATAAATATCATAAGGAAACGTTTTCAGTTTATTCATGTTGATAATTATAACATCTTTATTATAAATGAAATTGTAATTTTTTTTATACATCACATTAATTTTTATAGATGATTTATTCCGCTATTGAACATAGCATTACCGCATAATTATATGTTCATTTTCGTAATGATAAGTTCATTTTCATAATGAAAAGATTTTCTATATTAAACATATAACATGACCGAATAATGGTATGTGGTAATGACATGTTCATTTTCATAAGCATATGTTCATTACATGTTACGAAATTAAAACAATTACACGTACATTTATTTTACACATGACTTTATCATAATCAAATAATCTGTAATGTAAGGGAAATTTGCTAATATAAAATTATGATAAAATACGGGATTTAGATAACGAATTTTTTCAGTAGCTTATGGATTTGAATGACATGAATTTTTGTAACGTAAATTAAAGCACTTTAGGTCGTGACGATTTAATTAAATTGTGAAGTGCAACGTCTATTGTTCATGAATGAGAAAATATGTGACAGAAATTCCCAAAATTAGAACATCTCGTGAATTTCAATATAAAATTCAGTCATGCCCAAACTCATACCATACGGCCAGTTAGAATTATAGACACTGTTTGTATACAAAAACACTAGACGTTTGTTTCATATATTCATTTTTTATTCTGAATCATGATTCATGATTTTCTATAGTATTTTTTCTCACAAAAAATATACGTAAAACGAAAATGATTTTAAATCATGATTCTGAATACATCAAATTAATATGTGCGATAAGTGATAATTACAATCCAGCGGTGAGGATTTAATGGGAATTCAAATGGAGAGGATCATGATTTAATATAGCACTCAAAGAAAAAAGAAAAAAAAAAAGCTTGAACATGGCACCCCCCGTAATGGATTCTAGGCCTATAGGGTTGCCGGTTTGGGTTGGGCTGAGCTTCTATTTTTCTTTGTCGAGTTGTCTCACCTTGACTCGTTTGAGTAATCTTGATAAATACTCATTAAAAATATATAAATTAAAATTTTTATTCTTTGCTAATAATTTATAACATTTTTAATCAAATAATTGCACTAATAAAAGAGTATTTATTAATAATAAATGATAAAAATATAGACTCATGCACTCTTAAAGATAAATTTTTTATTTTTTTTTTCTTTTTTATGCATGTCGGCTCTCTCTACCCATTTTTTCTGTTTGGCCGGCATGAGTCAAGATGGGTGCCTCGGGTTAACGCCTCTAAGAATATCCAAGCACTAAAAGGTAGTGCACAAATATTCTCTTTAGTATGCAAGGAATGATCTTATGCATTTACTGTCCACACTAAGAGCAATTTCAGCTAAAAATGCATAATCATAATGCTTCTTTATGGGCATCAAGAATCCTGCTTGTGACGGCCTCCTATTCTTACCAATGCAGCTTCGTCATCCAGCAAGCCCGCAGCCTTAACCGCGGCCACTCCTTTTTCCGCCATTGAAATCTCCCGCCACTCCTTGTTGGCCTTATCACAACACAACATGTTACACAATGCAAAGGAAATCATCCCCATAAGCGTTTTATGG